TGGTGGGACTAGCCTCGTTCATGCAGACATGGGCTCGCCCCACCACTGGCGTGCTACACGACATGCAGCGGCCATCACTACAGGGATACGACCAGCTCTATCTCGACCAATTATGGTCCAATTTCACTCACTGGTCGAGGTAGAACAAGACCGTAGCTGAGATAGTTGCAGATCTGCTTCCAACTGCCCTAGAACAATACCCGCTGCCGACCCGACACTCCGGCCAATGCGACTTCCCCCGGACCCCAGGATACTACCTCCAGCGGCTTAAGCATACTTATACCCTGGGGCCGACAAAAAATTGGTTTTCTTCAAGTAGTTAAGTCCGCTAGCTGCTAACGCAGCTAGTACGCAGCCGAGGTCATTAAGTGCCCACTGAGCGATTTTAACTTTACAGCGTAATATCAATATCACTATTGATACCCGCTGCCCTCGATCAATGCCCGGTACGTACCGGTACAACATCAATGATACCTGCATGGTAGTAGAGTCCACTTGTGATAGTGGACTCCACTACGACGACTGCATGACGCGAGTTGCGGACGCGTGACAAGAAAAGCACTACAATTAACCCTTCGTGAGCGCCATCAGAATCAACACTCGGGCCATATTGGCCCTAGTGCTACACGTTGGACCAATGCTTGCGCCACTAAGGCCGCCGAAGAATTGGCGAGTACTATGATGACCTCCTTAGTCAAAGTCTGCCCAATAGGAAGTGTACTCGGCTGCAAAACCAAAATGCATGATGTTTCGTGAGAGTGTTGATGTTTGGGAAAATGGAAAGCAGCATTGAATATCACAAATACTCTTGAAAAAAACTCACCTTCGTGAATGGCAGTGGACTGATAAATACCATGTCGTACATTCACCACTCAGGAACATTATGATTGCCTCATAGTAGTATATGTCGCTTCAATTGTAGCGATGTACACTATCTATAGATTACGCCCTCCATAGCCTATCTGAACACAATATGAACAACAATTGGCCTGCGGGTAGCAATGAGATACTGTGGAGTTGGAGGGGTGTTCACAGTGGCAGTCGAGGATGTAAATCATGCAGGTAGTGCTTATTGCTACAATTGCAGCCACATATACTATGAGGCGATCATAATATTCTGAGTGGTCACTGCAGCCTCAACCTCCTCATACTAGTATAGTAGTACCTCATCACTCGATTCCAAATTGATAGCACATTTCCATATCTTGTTGTCCTGTCCCTCAATATTTCAACTGTTGCTAACCCAAATGCCCCATGTCTAAGGCTCCATGCACACACATCATGCTATATTATGAATGCGTGGAAGTCCTTGTCGTCGATGGCCAACCCTGTCCCCATCATTCCGATGATGGCCATACAGTCACCGAACTTGCCCACAGCCCGAAAGATGCCATCACAGCGTGGAAGGGATAGGACATCGTTCCCATCTTCCAAAAGTAATGAAGATCTTCTTCTGCCATTGGCGAAGACGGGGATGATACCGACCGCCTTCCACGCCGCGCGCGACGACATCTTCCTTGGATGGGCTGCAGCCAGACGTAGAGCTCCAATATTCGGTGTATTGTTTTCACACGTCCATTTCCGGTCGAAGAATGACTGGAATAGGTCCTGTATTGGCCGAGATACAGTAGGGTGATGTAGGGAGTTGATAACGCAGAGGAAATTGTAAAACTGATTGATTGGCGTTATCTACATCTACATGCATGACTACTGTGACTATACTATATCTAATGCTATATATACGTGCGCTCTGCAGAAGGAACTTCTGGTGTCCATGGCCGAGCACGCCGCACGCCAATCGAGCTTGGTCGTAAACTGACGTCAACAGTGACGTCTGTTCTGATTGGTCGATAACCCTATGACGCCACTGGAGTGACGTCGTTACATTCTCCCCTGGTTATCGACTTCGCCGCTTGT